CCCATGGGGTCCACTGGACAAAGTTGACGGTCGAGGAGTTACAACGGGTGTGGTAGCATGGATCATAGTTTTGCGAGTTTTCCCTAGAGTAGTGGGGACAATTGTTGGAGTTTCTTAGTTTGTGAGCTTGTGTATGGACCGAGGTCGTTGGAGTTATTTTATCTCACGTTCTGTTTGAACTTGGAGCGTCTCATAGCTTTGTGACACTAGAGTGTATTTGAAGAGTGTTGAGGTTTATTTGTGGACCGTGTTGGAAAACTTGGGGGAGTAGAATCAGTATGCTAAGCTGAGCAAGTATAGTTTCTGGCAGCGGGACGTTTTTTTCTAGGTCACATTATCTTTGCAAAGAGGGTTTCTATGGATCCAAAGAAGATTAAGGCCATCAAAAAGTGGCTGAGGCCGACCAATGCTATTGAGATCCATAGTTTTCTCGGGTTAAAGGGTTATTACCGAAAGTTTGTTAAGGATTTTGCGAGTATGGCTCGGGCGATAACTAAGATGCGTCAAAAGTGGGTCTCTGGTATGTGTTGATGCAGCAGGGTAAGGTGATTGCCTATGCTTCAAGGCAGTTGGGGAAGCATGAGGGCTAAAAGACTGATACAGCTGCAGTGTTAGCCAAGAAATGCGTGCAAGATAGTGAGACTTCATATAGTACCCGCCAGTATTGTGTTAGCCAGGATTCCAAGTTCACTTTTGCGTTCTTAAGAGCTTTAAAAAGGATATGTGTACAAATGTGCATTTGTGCACGGATTACCATCCTCAGACAAACGGACAGTATGAGCGGATTATCCAGACACTCTAGGTTCTGTTGAGGATGTGTGTGTATTGGAGTGGTCACTATGTGGATCACTTGAGCTTGATGGAGTTTGCTTACACAACAGTTACCATGCGAGTGTTTTGATGACTCCTTATGAGGCGTTGTATGCGAGACCATGTCCTACACCGTTATGCTAGACTGAAGTGGGTGCAGAGGAGCATATATGGTGCAAATTTTGTTCAGGAGTCCTCGGAGAACATTAGGTTCTGAAGCTAAACATGAAGGAGGCTCAAGATCGATAAAAGTGTTATGCTGATATTAGGCATACGGAGTTGGATTTTGAGATAGGAGATAGGTTATATTTCAAGATAGTGATGTTTTGTGGTTCTAACATGTGTCTTACTAAGACAAAGCTTAGTCTGATGTATATAGGTCCTTTCAGGATTGTTGAGCGGGCTGGACCAATGGCGTATCGATTGGAGTTACTGGAGGTTATGTAGGCATTTCACAAGGTTTTCCATGTGTCGATGCTGAAAAAGAGCCAGCCTAAGGATGATGAAGGGTTCGCTAAGATACTTGCAGATCTTCATCCCGACATGATTCTAGAGGCGAGACCGGTGAGGGTTCTCGAGAGGCGGGTTAAGGAACTTCGTACAGGAAGATTCCTTAGATGAGAGTGCAGTGAGATTGTGATGGAGTCTTAAAGGAGACATGAGAGTTTGAGGCGAGGATGAAGGCAAGGTTCCGAAAGTAGTTCGACAAGTAGGGCGAGGTTTAGATTGGAGATCTTGTTTTGTTCTCCGTGTTGGAGTTGAGTTTTGTTTTTGTTGTAACTCTTTTGTATTCTTGTTTCGGTTGTAACGATTATGACTTTAAAGTTTAATAAATGAGTATTTCATGGAGTTGACTTGTGTTGTCATAGAAAAGAAATATGGGTTGAGTTTCTATAAAATGGAAAGTTACGGGGTTAACTGTTCTAGTTTTGGAAAATTTCGGTATGGTGGTCAGATTAATAAATATTATAATTTCTACAACGGGTCATGAGAGATCATAGATCGAATTCCCGATCATTGATAACCATTTTTATAGGAGTAGTTATTCAGATTCATCTTATATATATATATATATATATTTGTCAACATTCATCGTTAATATATATAATTATATTATTATTTTGCAACAGATCATAACATGTTATAAACAACTTAATACATATCAACAAGTATTTTCCTGTACTGTAGAGCGGGTCAGATCCTAGTATATAAGTATTATAAATGTTAAAAATTGTACATAACCTCTTGTCGCCTATAGATACTTATACATAAGACATCAATTATTTTGAAAACATCAAAGAATAAAAAAGAAAATAAGTTTTAGAGACATTACTGTATGAAAGAGAGGGGGAATAAGTTTCAGAATAATATAGTCAATATGCAACAAATCATTCAAATATATTCACGTGAAAATGTATTGACCAACTTTATTTTTTCAGTTTTTACATTTCAATATTCATTAACTTGTATTAGTTTTTATTAAACTTGCAAAAATGATATGGCTTGAAAATCAATCTAACTTTGATTTGTAAAGTATATGTACTCATATTTAGATATTCTATATATAAATTCAAAAACATGTGAAAATTATATTTTTTTAATCGGATACAAATACATTGATTATATAATTTCATCTTAGACATGTGGCTGAGGCTGACAAATGCTACAGAGATTCATAACAGAGTGGCTGAGGCCGACGAATGCTACCGAGATTTGTAGTTTTCTCGGGTCAGAGGGTTATTACCGAAAGTTTGTTAAGGATTTTTCGATATGGCTCAGGCGATAACTAAGATGCGTCAAAAGTGGGTCTCGGGTATGTGTTGATGCAGCAGACTAAGGTGATTGCCTATTCTTCAAGGCAGTTGGGGAAGCATGAGGACTAAAAGACTGATGGAGCTGCAATGTTAGCCAAGAAATACGTGCAAGAGATAGTGAGGCTTCATATAGTACCCGCCAGTATTATGTCAGATAAGGATTCGAAGTTGAGGACTAAAAGCCTGATGGAGCTGTAGTGTTAGCCAAAAATACGTGCAAGAGATAGTGAAACTTCATATAGTACCCGCCAGTATTGTGTGAGACCAGGATTCGAAGTTCACTTCTGCGTTCGTGAGAGCTTTCCAGAAGGATATGGGTACAAATGTACTTTTGAGCACGGCTTATCATTCTCAGACAGACGGGCAGTATGAGCGGACTATCCAGACACTCTAGGATCTGTTAAGGATGTGTGTGTATTGGAGTGGTCACTAGGTGGATCACTAGGTGGATCACTTGAGCTTGATGGAGTTTACTTACACAGTAGTTACCATGCGAGTATTGTGATGAATCCTTATGAGTTATTGTATGCGAGGCCATGTCGTATACCGTTTTGCTGAACTCAAGTGGGGAGGGGGAGAGGAGCATATATAGTACAAATTTTGGTCAGGAGATCTGATGCGGACATCAGAACTAGATCAAACCGGGAGCACACCAAACCAGTCGGTCCACACACCAAACCGGTTTACATGGAGAATTTTGGAGAATCTTTGCCTAAATGGAGTTCTGATCATGTACAAGACGAAGGGTTAATTATTCACCATGATATTAACCCTAAGAAGTCCGACAGTTCAAGAGGGATAAAAAACAGCAAGTCAAATCACCTTATTATTGGGATATGACTGTTGCACTCTTTTTCCCTTATCTAGGGTTTGTCCCAATGGGTTTACCTAGAAAGATTTTTAATGAGGCAACACCAAGTCATCAAGGAATCATTCACCATCCATATGATTCAAAAATGATAGATGATGTACATTCTGATCTACTCGCGGACAAGCATGCTGAACTACTCGCTGACAAGCATGCTGAACTACTCGCTGACAGACTGCCTGAATTACTCGCTGACCGACTGCCTGAACTACATCAGATTGCGAGCTGTGAGGATTTGAAGTCTTTTAACACTTGGATCAGCCATGAAGGTAGTCCACACAGTCATTTGATTCACTACAAGGCCCCAACCTATGGAGAACATCCCATGAGAAGACACAAGTCCAAACCACCCTTTGAATCAAGGTCGTTGATCTACTTAGAGCGATATAAGGAAATTCTCATTTACTTTCATGAAGACGTGTTCCAAAGCTGCATATGGAAACTAAGAGAACTTGTAGGCCACACAAGACTTGTCCCACACGATCTTTGGTACATATTACCACACAAGAAGCCGATGAGTCACTACTTGCCATACATGGGGCAAAAGGAGATCAAGCTGCAAAGAATCCTTCCTTATTCACTTATGCACGTCTTGAAGCTTCCTACAATGAACCTAGACACCCCAAGGAGTTATGGATTCGCACCCAAGCTTTCAAGACTCAAGGCATCTCTCTACTTGCCTTATTTTGCCGATTTGGTTCATAAAGTCCCAACGGCAAGTGTAATTAATTTTGAGCGATTTGCTTTTTGTTTTACATTATTAGGACGTGTAACTGAGCCTATATAAGCTCATTAGATTGTTCATTTGTAATTATCCTTAATCAATTTAAAGTAAAAGAAAGTTTTATTCTTGTCAAAGTTTGAGTCTTTGTCATTGTTCTTCATTAGTCTTAAGTGAGCGAGTCTCTTAAGTCTATTGGAATCTGCGGATTAAGTTTGTTGAGTGATTCAACATCCTTTATTCGTCCATTGATCGAGTGAGTCGATTATCCCACCGATTGAGCGAGTCAATCACCTGAACTATCCCCTGAACCACCTATTGATTCAGAAGAGAGTGCTTCTGGCCAGCTCGTGAATTCCACCTTCCGCAAGCTAAGCTTGGAATCTCTTGATCATCAAGTGATCTAAAGTTTGGAGTGATTCCAATCTTGCATCAAGATCTCGGAGAAGATTCAGGTTTTGAAGCTAAACATGAAAGAGGTTCAAAATCGGCAGAAGAATTATGCTTGTATAAAACATAAAGAGTTAGAGTTTTAGGTAGGAAATAGGTTATATCTCAAGATGGCGATTTTGTGGTCCTAATAGATCCCTTACTAATTAATACCCGAAATATATATTTTTTTTAAGATTGTTGACCGATGGGTGGGTTTATCCATATTAACAGTAAAGTATATGTATTCAAAGCCCAATATCAAAAAGCCTTATTAATGTATACTTTAGAAAGCCCAATATCAAAAAGCCCTATTAATGTATACTTTAGACGCAGAGACCTGAAAGCAAAATAATTATCGTCTTCACAAGGAAATCGCAGAGAAAAAAAAAAAAAAACAACTAACAAAAAAAATCCCCAAATTGTGTTACCGGAAATTAGGGTTTTCACGATGTCGTCCGGGAAGCCGAAGCAAGGCGACACACGATTGGTGGTTGCTGCTACGACGGCGTCGGCATTGATGGAAGCGAAGAAAGCTGATCACGGAGGATCTACATCTATCGTTGAGTATAAACCGCCGGTGATGCTTGAAGATGAAGAAGATCTAGAAGTAAAGCTCAGACGAATCCTTGAGAATGTTCCTGTTCGTGTTAGCAATACTTCTGGGAGTTCCGCTGGTTCTGGCTCCGGCGATTTTCACCAGGTTCGTAATCTTACTTGGCCTGTAGCTTAAATCTGAGGATTGTGATTGCAAAGAAGGTGTTGCGAACATGGTGTTCTTAGTTGTGGTTTTGAAGCTATTCTTAATCAATTAAGAGAAAGTTCATTGTTGGGATCTTAATTACCTTAGTGGACGTTGTGTTCTGTGACTTATCATAATGTCTTCATACCTAGTTTAGGAAATTGATAGAGTTTGGAATGAGAAAGAGTTTTATATGCGGTAAGCTCTTGTGAGAGTAGCTAAACTAGACTGTAAATTGCGAACAAGGCTTAGGCGTAATTAGTTGTGGTTTTGAAGCTATTCTCAATCTCTTAAGATTTAAGAGAAGTTCATTGTTGGGATCTAAATTTTCTTAGTGGACTTTGTTTCTGTTTTGTGACATTGGTTTTTTAGTTTTGTTAAGAATTTGATATGCGGGAAGAGTTTTGGCTTTTGAGTAGTATCTGCGGGAAGCTCTTTGAGAGTAGCTAAATTAGCCTGTAGATAAAATTGGAGTATTGGGAATTTTATGATCGTCTGTGATAGATTTTCGACTTCTAGAATTGAAAATTGCCAAAGTTAATTCAATAATCAATACTGTAGCTGGCTAGAAACGAATCCTGTTCTTTAGTTCTTAGGTATGGTTAGGTGTGGGTTTGATTTGAAGTTACAGTCAATCAATTAAGAGATGTTCCTTGCTGTTCATAATATAGGGATCTGAAATTTCGTAGTTGATATTTGTTTTCTGACATTGCGTTTCCTTAGTTATGTAACGGATCGCAATGTTTTCATGCCTTTATATAAGTTTAATAGGGCTTGAACTGAGATTATTCTTTGTGAGAGGCTCATGTGGTTTAGTAATTAATCTGTGCTGATTATTATGTGAATTCTATTGGTTATGGCTTGAGTGCTTTTTGATTAGTGTGTATACATCCTTTGCATATTTACTAGATATCTCGACTTGTGTGATAACAATGCATCCCCCTCTTTTTACAGTACCGACAAATGAGACGAAGAGAACAAGATCGACTCACAAGGATGGATATTGACTATAACAAGCGGTTAAAAATGGCCGAGTTTACTATAAGAAGGGAAGAGAAACTGAAAGCCGCAGAGGAAAAAACGTCAAAGAAGCGTTTGAAACGCCAAAAGAAGAAGCAGAAGAAGCAAGAGAAGAAGATAAAACCAAACACTACTACTACTGAGGAACAAGAAAAACAACCTCGAGCAGATGAAGAAGAAGAAAAATCATCTGACGACGGTGGCGACGAAGAAGAAGAAGAGTCTTTGGTCGAACCTTTGCGTCCGATGTTTAATATCAAGTTTCAAGAGAACAGTTCATAGATTTATATTGTGTAACATGAATCCAAAACTATCTCTTTGCAAGATGAGTTTCTCTATTTGCGTTTGTTTTTAACAGTGTATGGTTAAAAAGAAATGGAGCAGGTTTAAATCACGATTGAAAAGAAATTTATAAAGCTGTTTGGTTTCATTGTTTTAAAACCATGAAAATCTGAAACTAACCAAAAAAATTTCAAATTGGACCAAACAAAAAAAAAGAATAAATGTCACGAAAATGTTAAAATTACATTTGTGTATAAATCACATTGTTTTAAAATTAAACTTTCAAAATTAAATCATAAACACTAATCAAGAATCAACTCAATCTTGAATGTGAAATATTCAAGAATCAACTCAAACTCAAACCTTTAAAAATAATTTGAAATATTGTAATTGCGTCAATTACTGCTATATTTTGATATATGTACAGTGTATGCTATAATTATCCGTAAAACTTGTTTAAGTGTTATTTAAAGTATTTTTCTTTTATAAATATATAAATTTATTAATTTAACTAATAAATTGAACCGAAAAACCAATTCGGGATTTATAAAATTTAATGATTTGTCGAGATATTAATTTATAGGATTTATACTACACAAAAATAATGGATACTTTTGTTTATGACAATGAAAAATGGAGATTAGAGCGAAAAATAAATAAACAAAAGTATATTTTTACTTTATGATCTTCAAAAAATTGCTTAAAAAGCAGAAAAGAAACCTAACTTTTGTACCTTACTTTAAAGTTCTAAAACCCAATTTTTGCATTGATTTCACTAATTTATTTTTAATTAACTGGTTATACTTATAAGAATGACTTTAAAACTAAAACGATGTGCGAAGAACGAAGAGACTCGAGTCACTCGAGGAGACAATTTTGGGATTGGTGAGACAGACACAAAGAGAGAGATCGCTCCAATGGAAGAATCTGTTCATCAATCTATTCGCTTCGGCTCAGGTTCCTCTCTCTTTTTCCCACACTCTCCATTAACATATAGATCTCCCTTTGAATCGCACCGATTCCATTTTGATTTTTTGAAATTTCCTGAACTTGACTGATGATACAGTTTCCGATTTGATAATGCGGAAGAACCGCCGCGGAGGGTTTCTTCTACTCGGATCAACGACGCTGTTATGGTTCTTATTCGAGAAACGTGGTTACAGTTTCTTCCCCTTTGTTGTTAATACTCAGCTTCTTCTCGTTGTTATACTCTTCCTCTGGGCCAAATCTGCTATTCTCTTCAACAGGTATCTTTAGCTTGAAGAGTGAAGCAATGTCACGTTTTTGTATGATATAGTATATATAAGATATGGTTTATATGTTAAGTAGGTTGAATTAGCTTTGTTTCTGTGGAATTTAGAGTGAAGAATGTCACGTTTTTGTATGATATAGTATATATAAGATATGGTTTATAGGTTAAGTAGGTTGAATTAGCTTTGTTTCTGTGGAATTTAGAGTGAAGAACGTCACGTTTTTGTATGATATAGTATATATAAGATATGGTTTATAGGTTAATTAGGTTGAATTAGCTTTGTTTATGTTGAATTTAGAGTGAAGAATGTCACGTTTTTGTATGATATAGTATATATAAGATATAGTTTATAGGTTAATTAGGTTGAATTAGCTTTGTTTCTGTGGAATTTAGAGTGAAGAATGTCACGTTTTTGTATGATATAGTATATATAAGATATGGTTTATATGTTAAGTAGGTTGAATTAGCTTTGTTTCTGTGGAATTTAGAGTGAAGAATGTCATATTTTTGACATCATGTTGTAGATTAGATATATGGAAAAGTTTGTGTTATATGTGTTAATTCTGAATCTGAAATGTTTTCGTTGTTTTGTGTTTCTTGATTTAGACCTATGCCTCAACTACCTAATCTTGAAATCTCTGAGGCGTTTGTGTTTATGGTGGCTGATGGTTTACGAGTGTGGATTAATGCTGTGCTCGCTGTTGCTCGTGAGATTTACGTGGGAAGAAATGCTAAGCAACTCTTTCGGGTCAGTGATTTTTTTCTTTCGTTTCTTATAGATTTCTAGAATGTAGCAATATGGTTAAGAAACTGAAACATTACTATTGCTATGGCAGGTTAGTGTTGTGTTGTGGACAGTATCATTTGTTGGCAAATTCTTGAACTTTCTCACGATAGTGTATCTTGGTGAGTAGATTTGATTTCCTTTGTTCTTTACAAGAGGAAGGGTTTATGTTTTTGCACTTAAGACTGCTCAACTCACCAAATTGACTTTCTCTGTGTTATTTGAGTGGACAGGGGTTGTTCTCAGTCTTTTGGTCCCTTTTCTGTACGAGAGATACCAGGGTCATATTGATGATCAGCTATCCTTAACACATCGAATTATTCAAACGCAGTACAGGAAAATTGACGAAAGATTACTACAGAAGATTATTCCTAAGCCTTCAAATAAGATAAAGAAGATGCAATAGGCAAGTATACTGACCCCTTTTTTAAGCATTTATCAGCTAGCCCTTTGATTCATTGTTCGATTTAAATACAGCTATGTTCATTTGATAAGATTTTTTTGTTATGACTAGCACATGACAATTGTAGTTAGCCTAGGGGTAATTTGCAAAGATAGATAGTTTTTTCAAGAGATAAATAGGCGTGAGACGGCTGTTGTAGCTTTGCCAGCTTAACAACAGAGCGTAGATATGGTGTAGAGTTTAGAGACTTCTCTCATTGAACAAGTTTCTTCTATGGTGTAGTTCTTTGGTGAATTCAGTAAGTGTTGACAGCTTAAATTCTATCAGCCAAGTGGTGAATACGATAATATTTCTGACACCATAATGATATATGCGTAAATGTTAAGTATATTAGATATAATCTCAATGGTACGACTATTTTGAATGATCTGTGTGCTGAAAAGTTATATATTTGTTCAAGTCTAATCTGTTTGTATGCACTCTTTTTGTTGCAATGCAGTGAAATAAACAAGACATAATATGACCGAGTTGCGGAGGTTAAACTGAGGATTGGTGCAATAGAGCATTGTAACAAACTATGATGAGTATATGAAATGAGACTTGAGTGATTGATTCCAAATGCTATAATGTGGTATTCTCTCTCGAATCAACCCGTAGTTGATAGGGACACAATGGATGAAGAAGTCCATGTCTATGTGTAACTTGAGGAACTAAACGTGATTGGTTCTAATTAAAGTGGAGTGTTATGATTTTTTAGTTATATGTTAACACATATGTGATAATTTTTATCTGATAAATCACAGTTGTAACTCAGGAATATTTCTGAAGTTTTAAGAGGAAACAAGCCTCGGGATTATAACGTTTATGATGATTACAAGAAGCGAGGCCAAAAAGGCAGAAACTCAAGCAACTTTAGGAGATAAGACAGATTCCGAATTGGGCACTGTTACAGACCGCAACAGCTCCAACGAGCAAACAAGGCCTAGGAAATGAGAGAGTAAGGTGTTCGCTGATGCCTGCAAAAGCGGTTTCTCAAGTCAAACAGTGAAACTTGCTCATTTCACTTTTGCAAAAATCTTTTGAGTAAAAGCTTTTGTTTACCTGAACTAGGAAGACATCAAGAGCAAGAACGGGGCTGTAACCCTGGGAGACTCCCTGGTAGAAAGGGTTAGCTGAGGTTGTTAAAGCCTTTGCAACTAAGAATCCAACCGTTGCTTGCATCCCGAGAAGTGCTGCTCCCATTCCCAAAAGATTTACCATAATCCCGCTCCTCAAACCTTTCACAACATCAGCACGAGGCGGAGCCTGAAACAATACAGCCTTATTAAAAGTTGGATTTCTCGCTTTCATTCACCAAACTACAAGTCTACGAAACTGATTAACAGGACCCAAGAAGACTTGACGGGATCATACAACCAGCTGAAGAACTTAAATATGATCAAAGGTTCAACAACTAGTAGCCACTACTAAATATAAGGTTCACAGACTGGACTGGTCGTCTTAACGAAACAAAGTTAACCCAGTTCACATACATAAGAACCTACAAGCGCTTTTGTATAGGCATTCACTTCCACAAAACGACGCTCAGACCAAAAGAACCGGGTGATTCAACTTAAAGACACATTCTAGGATCCTTACTGTATCTTCTAATTCAAAACTTTTTCACGTTAGTGTAGTCATTAGCAGTACACTCTTAAAAGCATTGTTACTAGTGAGTTGGACTGAACTACAATAAAGAACGAGACACTGTTACCTTGGCAGGGTCAATGGAAGTTCTACGAAGCCTCTCTGAAAGCCGAATATACCCAAACGACCAGAAAACCGAGACAAACGCAGCAGCTATCCCACTTGCAGTAGCATAGAAAGTAGCAGGTGAAGTAGGTTTCCCTGTAACAACAATGGAGAATGACAGAATCACAGCTGCAACAACGGTTGACACAAGCTGCCCCCAGAAACCAATACTCCCTAGCCTCTTGAAGTACCTTGAAGTCTTCTCCAATCTCTTTGCTACCTATGAAACAATTCCATTTTTCACACCAATACACATCTCAATACATGGATTAAGATTCTTCACAAATCACACTAAACACTTCAATTTCGATTCTCAAAATCCAAAAATTGTTATCTTCTTCCTGAAAACAAAATCTGATTCAGGTAGAATCTGTGAATTACGAGTTCAGACATGATCGTCACAATCTCATTCCACAACTCAATTCAGCTATCTAATTCAAAAACCAAGACGAGGAACTAAGATTCGAGAGGAAAATGCTAAAGAGAAAGAGAGAAACCTGAGCGAGCTTTGCCTTGTCGACCTCATTATCACCGGAAACAGAAGAAGGAGACGACGGAGATGAAAATGTCACCGTGGATGGTGCGAAACTAGGTTTGGATCCTCCGATTTGGAAACCGTAGACGGACAGAGACGGTGGCGATTGGGAGTGTGAAGAAGAAATGGTGGATTTCCTCTTCGGAGCCAAGAGAAGTGGTAGGGAGCGAGTGTAGAGGCGTTGGTTTTGGCACGAGTTCTGGAAACCCGGTCGTAGAGCGACGGCGGAGAGGCCGGAGGAACTCGCCGGCGGCAAGAGTAGTGACTGCATATTTTTTAGTTGAGTGTTAAGAGTAAAGTTGTGTGAAATGGTGATTTTGAGTTTTAGGCTTCGTTCTATCTTTGTAGTTGTAATGGGCTTTATGCAACCTAACGGCCTTTAAGAGGAATTTTCTTTTTCTTTTCTTTCTTTATTAACGGTCCAACAGAATATTTTTTATTTTTTTTTGTATTTAATTTTATCAACTTTTGTAGAAGTATAATTCTCAAAATATCATTAAAATAAAAAAAATTTCAGAAATATAATCTTTTTGTTTTTTCTACTAATATCACAAAAAAAAAAATTCCCAAACTCCGACAAACTAAATATTAAACTTTGAACACTAAATTTTCTCTAAATTTAAACCCTAAATCTGAAATATTTAATTATAAACTCTTAAAAATTATCGTTTAATATTTTATGGTATTTTATGATAAAAAAATTTGTAGTCGTATTTTTGAAAGAAGAAATTTTAAGGATGATATTTTTAGAACAAAAATTTAGTTTAGCGGTATTTTTCATATAAATTTTATTTTTTTGGGATTTTACATTCTTCAATAAAATTTAAGATATTTTAATATTATAAATTTTTTAAACATTTGTAGGTTTTCAGTTAAAAAAGGTATATATATATATATATATATATGTTTGCTGATATGTTGGTTAATCAAGTTTTGTATTTGGTTTTGGTTAAGATTTTGGGACTTGGCATCAGTTTGGATTAATATATATACAAATTAAACTGTAAAAATAATTCTTATCCTTTTATTGTGAAATATATTAACAAAATCAAAGTCTCTAGTTAGATGTTATTTTCTTATACTTTAATTGTAATCTATTTTTCTATTGATAAGATACACACATTTCACTCATATGTATATTTATGGGTTCGTTCTCCATAGTTAACAATGGCTACATTAAGAGAAACTAATTATTATTATTTTTTGACATCCATTAAGAGAAACTAAATTTAAGGTGCTGATTACAAATTTGTATATCCAGAAAACTAAACCATTTAAACCAAATTGTCTCAGTCTCACCTTCTTAATCAAAGAATCGGGAACAAACATAACATCGATTTGAAATTAAAATTTTCTTAACATAACAGTTTGCTTTGACCCATATTTTAGAATTTTATGTTGTTTTCTCTCTCGAGTGATACATGAAGGTCAATCAATCATATTAATAAAAAAATTCTAAAACGTTATTATTTTTAATGTTTTGTCAATCACAACATTCATAACAAATTAAATCTTGATTCCAGTCTGAGGGAAAAATAAAATTGCTGCTGCAAACGAGGCAGACGATCCACGTTGGAATTACATCAACGGAAGTTCTTAAATATAGTGAATGCCGGAACACTTATTTTTTTTAATTTGATTATTAACTTTTGCAAATTCTCTCTTTGAATTATCATAATACCTAACAATTTTTTAATTACTTTTACTATTATACTAAATTTATCTTGCAAAAAATGATTCTCACCTATACAAAAATATAGCCAAACACATGACCAGACATCTAAGCTATATTATATATCAATATTTACATGGATTAATATTGCATCATAACATGCAAAAACAAACATAAGTTGTGTGCCCAACACCATAACTGTCGTTTATTCTTTTCTTTTTTTTTATGTGACAATTTCCTTTTGCATCATTGGTATCAAAATCAGTACAGAAAACAAAATTAATGAAGATAATAGAAAATCTTATGAATTTTATTTCTTATCACATTATTTGTTTGCCCTCAAGTAAATCATAAAAATAAAACTCTTGGTAATGGAGAGAACCATATTGAATTTATACATGTTCATGAGATATGCTCTTTTTCAATTCTGATGTCTGTGAAACTAAATGTTGTTTAGTGAATCATACAATCGATTGAAACTGATAGAAATTTTGTCAATTCTAAAATAACATATTTGTGTTTTCTTTTTGGGGTTAATATTGGTTTTTGTTAATCAATTTGTGATTACCTGATTTGTTAGCAAGTAGCTAATGATAGTAAGGTAACAACATTACAAAGTGTAAGGTCAGAAAGTAGCTAACCTTAAATGTTTAATGGCTTTGTTTTACTTACTTCACTTTTGGATTTAGACACATTCATTTGTTTAGACAAAAAAATAAAAATAGTAACGAATTACAAAAGCTTTCCAAGTTCATGTGATTTTAATATTATGCCACAAAGAAAAAAGCTTTCGAATTACAAAAGATAACATTGGCTAAGTTTTAAATTCAAATTTTCGAATTAATATTCTTTTTGTGGTAAGAAAAAACAAAAACAAAGATAATTATACAATATTTTGCAGACATTTTTACGAACTTCGAAAAAAGACAAACTACTAAATGAGAAAATAACAACGACAAAAAGAATAAAAGAATATTAGCTGTTGACATAAAAATCAATAAATATAAATAAATTAACCAATCCCTCTCTTTTTATCTCTTACCTCACCCTCTCTAAAGCAGAACCTCATAGTTTCGTTTTGCTTTGCTCAAATATCTTATAAATTTGGTGAACAGAACAATCATTACTTGCAGTGGTTCACCATCTCTCTCTCTTTCTCTCTATCATAAGAACTCATAAGCATTACTCAGAGAAGAGAGAAAAGACCTAAGAACTCATACCATGACTTCCATTAGAAGCAACCTTCTCTTCCATCTTCTTCTTCTTCTTCTTATCCCTTCACTACACCAAGCTCTTAACACAGATGGTGTTGCTTTACTCTCTTTCAAATACTCAATCCTCAATGACCCTCTCTCTGTTTTTCGCAACTGGAACTACGACGATGAAACACCATGCTCTTGGACTGGTGTTACCTGTACAGAGCTTGGGAGTCACAATACCCCAGGTATGCTTAGAGTTACAAGCTTGGTTCTTCCTAGCAAACAACTTCTGGGTTCTATCTCTCCCGATTTGTTTTCGATACTTCATCTACGGATCTTTGATCTCTCCAACAATTTCTTTCATGGGTCACTGCCGGATTCAGTGGCTAATGCTACTGAGCTTCGTGTTCTGTCTCTTGGGAACAACAAGGTTTCTGGTGAAGTGCCCAATCGTATCAGCAACGTGGCTAGTCTCCAGCTGTTGAATCTCTCCGCTAATGCATTCACCGGAAAAATCCCTCCCAATCTCCTACTTCTCAAGAGTCTGACGGTCCTTTCCTTGGCAAAGAACTCCTTCTCAGGCAACATTCCAAGTGGGTTGGAAGCAGTACAGGTTCTCGATATCTCCTCAAATCTTCTAGACGGATCTCTTCCTCCAGATTTCATGGGAACAAGTTTGCATTACCTAAACCTATCACACAACCAAATCTCCGGAGTGATTTCCCCAAGTTTCACCAAGGAGTTTCCAGCAAACGCCATCCTCGATCTCTCCTTCAACAATCTAACAGGACCAATCCCTGGTACACCACCATTACTTAACCAAAAGACCGAGTCTTTTTCTGGTAATCTTGGCTTGTGTGGGCAGCCATTGAAGACCCTTTGTTCAATCCCTTCTACTATTTCAGACCCACCAAATATCTCTGACACTACTTCACCTGCAATAGCAGTCATGCCCACAAATCCAACACCAACAACAACAACAACAACTCCATCAGTAGCATCACCAACTCAAACAGCCAAAAGCAAACTAAAACCAAGCACAATCGTAGGCATTACACTAGCAGATATTGCTGGTCTTTCTATCATAGCCATCTTCATCCTCTACATATACCAACTCAAGAAACGTAGAAGCAACCAAGAATACAGCACTTTCAGCGTCTTACAAAAGTGTCTCGAGAAAAACGATACAGTACCCATCAAGAAATCAAAACACAACATAGTCCCTGCCTCAGAGATCACGAAATCTCCACCCACAAAAACTGGATGCGGCTCATGGATAACTCGTCGGTACGACGATACAACGTCAACATCATCCGATAGCGATGTAGAGAACCAGCTGCAAGAGAAGAAACCCACTGAGGCATTTAATCGAACAAGTGGTGCGTCACAATTAGTAACAGTCGATGGAGAGACTCAGCTAGAGCTGGAAACACTACTAAAGGCATCAGCTTACGTACTTGGTACAAGCAGAAGCGGCGGGATCGTGTACAAAGCCGTGTTAGAGAACGGCTCAGCTTTCGCAGTGCGGCGGATCGGGGCGGAGAGTTGTACGACGGCGAAATTCAAAGAATTCGAAAAGGAGGTTCAGGGTATCGCTAAACTTCGTCACCCAAATCTCGTTAGGGTTCGTGGCTTCGTCTGGGGAAACGAAGAGAAGCTTCTCATCTCCGACTATGTCCCAAACGGAAGCTTACCTCTCTCCTCCATCTCCGGTAAGTTTTTAACTTTTTCATAAACGGTGTACGTTAATACTTCATAATGCTATCATACGCTCCAATATCAGCTCATTTTAGCAATTTGTTTTTAATTAACGCTCCAATATCAGCGCATACTCTCTCCTTTGAGGCAAGGCTCAAGATAGCAAGAGGGATAGCTAAAGGACTTGCTTATATCCACGAGAAGAAGCATGTGCACGGCAACATAAAGCCCAATAATATTCTATTAGACTCTGAATTTGAGCCTGTAATTACTGATATGGGCCTTGATCGTGTTATGACTCCGGCCCATTTACTCGCGGATGGACCAGTTTCGATTTCACAACATCATCCGCCTGAGTGGTCAACTAGTCAGAAACCAAACTCCAAATGGGATGTTTACTCATTTGGTGTGATACTCTTGGAGCTTCTCACAGGCAAAGTTTTTCCGGTCGATCGAGATCTTGTTCGCGATTCGGAGACCGATGAGAAAAGTTGGTTCTTGAAGTTGGTTGATGGGACAATTAGGGTTGATGTGGCTCGCCGCGAAGATGAGGTGGTCGCCTGGTTTAAGTTAGGTTATGGTTGTGTCTCTTCCTTGCCTCAAAAGCGACCGTCCATGAAGGAAGTGGTGCATGTGCTAGAGAAAATGGTTGTTTAGTTGTTTGTTTGCCGACAAAACAAAAAAAGTTGTTTGTTTTAGTCAAAGTTAGAAAAGATTTCATAAATTTGTTCTAATACAAATTGATTACTTTGCCTCTTTTGAGTTGTTAATTGCTTCTTCTTTTTTCTAGATACAGTATCATGTATTAGTGAATTCGTAAGTACTAGAAATACTGGTGTTCTTTACTTAATCTTTCATTATTTTTTTTAATTTCTTGCAAGTAAATAAAGTTTATTTCATTTTCTATATAATTTATTTATCTTGATAAAAGCTCTAAGAGTTCTTGTTGTAATCACTAAGCAATATATAAGATTCAGTTCGTTATTTGATTTTGTACTTCATCTAGATCTAAACTAAAAGTCTAGCCCAAGTTCCCCAAACCCTTGACCCGTATTGAAATTATAATTGGTGGTTCTTAGCACACACAAATCATATAAAATACTAGATTCAAAAGACATCCTAAATAGATACTTAAACGAAGTATAAACAAGCCAAATGTCAACCAAGAACAAGTATCAAACAAGTCAAGAAAGTAGACATATATACTACAGAAGAGTCTAAAATGGAGAGAGAGACTTAGATTAAACATGAGAGAGCACTCCGTTGGTAGTACAAATCAAAGGCATGACTAGGAAAACTTGATGGCGTAAGCAAAAGTTCCGGCGAGCAAAAGAGCTATATGAACCTTGAAGAGCTGTGCCATGAAAACCACTACAACAAACAATGAGGTCAAGACAGTTAGATTCAACAAGAAACAAGAAGAAGAAGAAAAAAACAAACATGTAAAAAGAACTTTACCAAGTTGTTTCCGCGGCATATCCTAAAAATGCGTTGTAAAAAGAAGAAAACACTATTAAGGACAAATAACAAATTGTGTGTATATGTAGACGAAGGATGCAAGAAAAGTTTCTCTTTTGTTTACCGGAGTAGCCACCTTTGGCTGGAAGAAACGGTTGTACAGGGAGACAATGGACCTAATCTCTTCAGGGGCGGGAAGCATACAAGGACGTAACCATGTCATTTTATCTCCATCAACAGGACATATACAAGGTTCTGTAACATTCTTCTTCCGAGTCCACAAGTACAAGATACAATTCACTGCCAAATCCAGAAACAAACACCAATTTTTATGGATTCTGATTATTATTTAGGATAGGCTAAACAAGAATCCAGTTTAAGCTCACCGCAGAATTTGTGGCCGCAAGTGGTGGTAGCTAGTGAAGAAGAGTCTGATAAGCATTTATCGCATCCACCTTTATCCATTACCTATCAGAATCACAAGCTCTCAGCGTTCACATTAAGCTCAACACACAACAAAACCAAATCACGAAATTGCTTTAGAAGACAAACCGAATCGGATTCAAGTTATTCAGTAAAAATAATCAAACAATGATCCCCAGAAAAAAAAAATAAAAAAAAAAAATAAACGAGTGATGGTGATGATTCTATTCAGGAAGAGAAGATGAAATTGCTTACCGGAGGGGGAAATCGAAATCAAAAGAAGATAAGACGGAGAGAATTAGTAATCAACAAATTACACGATCGGTCCGTCTCTCACCTGTAATCGTCTTCTTTGTTCCTCTCTGATATCATCAATCAAACCCTAGATTGAAGAACTCGATCAAATCTTCTTCACATAATAAGGTGAACCAAACCGGGTTCGACCCGATCACCTTAAACCCCTGGTATAAATAAGAAAAGGCAGGCCTTAAATGGGCCAAGTCCATTTATTTTGTAAATATGTGAGCTCAATCTATATTTTTTTTAAAATTAAGAGTTATTAATATTTTAACTTTACACCAAATTTATGCTAAAATATTGTTGATTTTGCCATTTCCTTAAACATTAATTTATTTTTTGGCGATGACATGACGGGGTATAAGACGAGAAATGTTATAATATGTTTTCATATGACGGAACGAGTTTGAGTTGATATTACTAAATAAATATAATATTATTAATTTTCACAGTTCAATACGGGTTATTTTACTATTTTTTTAACAATACTAATATAAAACATGTATAATTAAACTGATTTAGTAAAGATTGATATTATGCAATCTTAATAATTACTAAATAAACCCAACACAATCTATAAATTTTTAAAAACTTGAATTAAAAAAATGTTTATCTCGCGGTACACCGCATGTCAAATATTTCTTTTTAAATTCAGATCTTTTAGAATTAACATAATTTTTAGAGTGTATTTAATAATTATTAAGATTTCATAAATACCAATTTTGATAAAATCAAGTTTATTATACATGTTCTATATTGATGTTGTTAAAGAAGTAGTAAAATGAAGATTTTACCCGTATTGAAATATGAGATTAAAACTCGTATTGTTTTACAGCCCGTCCCATCATATAAACACTTCATGTTAAAATTTTAATTAAGTTTAAATATTAAATATATTAACTATAATTAATATTTTACAACGAAAAGGTTTGAATATTGATAATATTTTAGATTTTTTTAAAAAAAGAATAAATAGTAAATTATTTTGAAATATTGGAGAGATTTGAGGAAAAAGATTAATATTGGTTACAATTTTCTTAAATATATAATTAATATGTTAAATATATATTGGTTGTAAATATGTTAAAACTCCAAGGGTTTTTCCAAAAAATGTTGCAAAAATGTTATAGTAGATATTTTTTTCGTCAATTATGATTGTGATATTTTTTGAAAAATTATCAATATAGCAACTAATAAAACATATCCCTTTACTATAGTTAAAGATAAAGTACAAAAGTGAATATATATAAGGTCAAAATTACAAATTAACCCTAATTTAACAATTGGATACTTTAAAATCGGATATTTAATTGAGTTTAGATATATAAACTGGATACTTTCCCGGAAGATTATATCATTTTCATATCTGATTTTAGAATTTAGTAATATTTTCTAACTAATTTAATATAATATATCAAAAATAAATATTTTTCTCATTTCATCTTTATTTGATCTTATTTTTAATTTATTATACTATACTATATAATAAAATGTTTGATAAAAAAATAATTTATTTTCATATATCATAATTTGAATTTTTCAAACTGACATATAATACTCAACTAATAACGAATTTAAGTGTATGTACAGCGTCTGACTTTGGCTAAAAATAATTTGGACAATAGTTTAGATCAATATAAATAGGACTAACATGCGTCCAAATTTATATATTTTGGTTAAATCTAAACATGTTTATAATATAGTTTAATGAAATCTTATATTATACTTAGTTGATAGAAAAAGTGTAAAGTAATACATCGATTAAATATTTTAGACAATGATTTTATATCATTATGAGTATGAGCAATATTATTTATTGTTTTTTGAGCATATTTAAACTTATAAAAAGTTTCAAAATATTATAATTAAAATATTCAAATATTTTAGTATTGAAAACTTTAAAAGGTTTTAAATTTTTAATATATTAAAATTATAGAATATTTAAAGTATTAGAAATGTGTTTTTGGAGATATAGATGTAATTTTGCAACATGTTAGAACGAACGACTAAGATTAGAAGAAATAAAAGTCGGGTACGATTACCACGTATTAAAGATCCCATGTTTATCCGTTTAGAGAGTGTTTGGCAACACGTTTGAGAATTTTTATATTATAGTTTTCGATAGAATTTTTTTTAATGATTCGGTTTGACAACAAATTTATATCTGTTTCTCTTTTCAATTGACGTGAAATATTAAAGAAGATGTTAAAGGAATTTTGTGAGATCTACTTTCAATAAAAAAAAAAAAATTACTTTAATTGGTAATAATTTTGAGTAACAAAGAGGAAAAACCGAAAGAAACAACAATTCTTTCTCGTATTTGCTCAAAAGCTCTAACCCAAAAAAAAAAACATGTACAGTATTTCATATGGTTTGTAAACCAAGTATTGTAGTCATCAAAGTCTTATTAGCACGTCTTCCTTAATCAACATTTAGTACTAATCCAATTTGTTGATCCATTGTCACTGATTTTAAAGTTTAAACTCATTGGGTCTGTTCTTTTACTCGTTACTGCGACAGAGAAGAGCAAAACGATAAAAAGCTATATATCATCTAGAAAACTATTGTAGCGTATCAAGAGTTTCATTAGTCCTTACTGGAAATCATAACACAGAACAAACATTACAAAAACTAGAAGAGATTAACCGAACAAACACAAGTTAACAGCTAGAAGAACCTTATCTAGAAGGGATAAGTTTATAAACACAAGTTAAAACCATTAAAAACATAAGAAGGAACGTAAACTAGAAGACGGAAGAAGGATGAAATGCCAAAGACAGACCAATTCTTTTGGAGTAGAGATCACCAGACACCCTAAGTTGACATTGAGGCTTAGACAATTCATACTGAAATGCAAAAGTTGCAGGATGTCGATTGGAAAACATGCCTTCAAGAGTTGCCCTCGAGTAAAGCTCCCATTCGAATCCAATACCAAAAGTGGACATCCGTGAAGGCTTAACAAATGGTCTATGAAACTCAGCAAGCGCCACAAATTTAGGGTGAATCCGATGACGGGTAAGAAACACGTATTCGTCTGCGCCTCTGCAGAATCAACAATACTTATGTTAAACACAATGCAAGACCATATTCTTATATATACACTAAGACTTATATTATTCAGCTTACAGTTTGATCTGAGCTGAGGCGTTCCCTGCAATAGACTCAAACCCAATATTCCAATCTTTAAGTTTATGGCTGTTAACATCAACAACACCCATGGAAGTAAGTTTGAAACCAGAGAGGTTGCTGAACAATCTCAAAGCACCAGTGAGCTGAGCAATAGGGCAGGATTTGCACACAACCCTTGCACCTATTTCACCATATTTTAGTTTATACAACATCCCAATCTGCATTATTAACAACCCAATGAGTCTTTAACGCAAGTATTGGATTGCACAATCAAACCACGCACCTCCTCATTGTGATTGTAAGATGTGGTAGAAGATTGGAGGCTACACATCTCCGAAGTGAACACTAGTTTCAGGCCAGGGATATATGAGGCATTGATTTGACTAATTTCGTTTCTATCAAAGTATCCCATGCCTGTAACAGAAGAAATCGAATCAAAATCTACTCAATTCGGAAAACATTACAAAATAAAAAAAAAAAGAGGAAAAGGACTTGCCTTGCAATGTATCCATAATGTTGATTCCTGCAGAAGAAACGAAGGATCCTGCAAAGGAAAAGAAGGAAGACATCGTGGTGGTAGCAGAGCCTCGATGAGGAGAAAATTGCAGATTTTTAGGGTTTCTCAGAGCTGGTAGATGATGATGATGATTACTATTAGATTTTGGGTTTTTCTGTCATATACGGCTCGGCCCATTAAGAAATACCAAATGCGGCCCAAACTCTAGAATTTTTCTCAAGTCAAAAAAAAGTTTATAAAACATGTTCATCTTCTTCGTCCATGTTCATCGCCCATTTTTTCCAAAACCCCGAATCTCAGATAAATAAAAAAGGTATAATAGTAAGATTTTTTTTTTTTTTTTCGTTTGAAGGAAGGACAACACAGATATTGATCACTGGTAGGACTTTTTTTTTTTTCAGGTCTCCCACATTTCTGTAAAACAAATGGAGTACAACAACCAAAACAACACATGCTCAGTTTGCAAAAACGAATGCTCGGTTCCAGTGACAACTAATTGTGGCCATCGTTTCTGTGGTATGTTTTTTATTTCACAAGCTTTTAAAGCTTTGATTTTCTAACATTTTCATTTTTTTCTCTGTGTTTTTGATTTCACCATGCTTAAAAGCTTTGGTTTTTTCTAACATTTCATCAAACTCTTTCCTTTTTCAACATCTCATTACTTAAACTGTTTGTTATCTCTGGTTTTTTTAACATTCTTATCGTTTCTCTGTGTTTTGATTTCACCAAAGGTTAAAGCTTTGGATTTTTCTAACATTTCATCTTTTCTTTGTCTTTGATTCCACAAGTTTAAAGCTTGGGTCTTTTCTAACATCTCATCAATTGAAACTTCTTCATTTCTCTTGTTTGTTGTTTCAATGAGTGGATTTTGTTACAAGTTTCTTTCCATTTTTTGGTTTGTGCCACTATTTTCTCCTTGTTTCGTTTACACAATTAGAAGTTTCAGTAACTGGTGCTTAACAACTTCGTTGTATATGCGATTATGTGTCGATTATGTGTCATTTGTGTATGTTTTTTAATTACGCTTAATGATATTAGTGAGTTAAATAAAAAATGAAAGCTAGATGATCATAATAGTCATGGGAATAGTACCCAAACCAAAAATTCCAAACCGAACCGAACCGAGTTTTTCGGTTTTCGGTTCGGTTTTGGTTAAGAAATGATAACAGATCGGAATAGATTATAATTCGCAATCGGTTACCAGTTCATTCGGTTCGGTTCGTCCTAACTGATCGATTACCCGAATTTAACTGAATTACCCGTAATTAACCAAACGAACCGACCCGATGTACCCGAAATTACTTTTATTATCTGAAATTAGCCGAGATTAACCCGAATTACCGAATTAATCAAGTTAATTGACCCGATGTAATACCAGAACGAAACAAAAATCTAAAATATTCGGTTAATTTAGGCAACCAAAAAAATAACCAAAAAACCCAATACACGACCCAAACTGAACCGTAATGCAATTTGGTTATTTTTGGTAACACTTTTCAAATTCCAAACTACCCAAATATCTGAATTATCCGAACCAACCCATATTCGCAGGTCTAGATTATATATTTATTTACTGCAGTGTAAGACTTAAAAAAAAATTGTAACTTTCTTTTATGTTCTTGCTTAACCTTGTTTATTTTCAAAATTGGTTTTACTAATCATTATAATGTAACTATCATATTTTTTTTCTTAATAGGTAAATGCATACTGATTTGGTTTACCGAGGCACCCATCGACGATGCATCTACTCTTGCTTGTCCCAACTGTAGGACACTGGTGACTCATCTCCACCATGATGATGTTGTTGTTGGTGAGAATTCAGAAGCTATTGTAGCACTCACTAGCATATATGAGCAGATTTACGGAGATGCAAACGTAGAGGTATTTATATTTTTATAAATTTTGAAATAAAATTTTTTATTTTTTTATGATTTTTGTCACAAAAAAAAAATGTTTATGTTTTGCTGAGATGGTTGGATTAGGTGTCTAGATAGATGGAACCAATGTTTTCAAAGTGGAAAAATAAAAACTGTTTTTGTTTTGTTTGGGATACGGGTTCTAGGATTTGTTTTGGAAATACTCTATCTATTAGCTTTGGGAATAGTACTTGAACATAAACCGAACTAAAATTTTTGTTTCAGTTTTGATTAAGATAACTAATCAGAAGAAATTAGAATTTACAATCGTTTATCGGTTCAGTCCGTTTTGTTTAACCTAACAGATCGGTTACTCAAATAACCCGAAATTAACCGCATTACTCAAAATTAGCCAAACTTCCCGACCCAATATGACCGAATTACTCGTAGTACCCAAAACTAAACCGAATTTACTCCAATTAACTGAGACAATTGACCCGATGGAACTAAAATATCCAAAGATCCAAAATATTCAGTTCATTTCTGTAAGAAAAAAAAATCCGATTCCCGAACTGAACTAAACTGTTATGTAATTCGGTTATCTTTGGTAACGTTTCTCAAATTCCAAACTAACCAAGTATCCAAATTACCTGACCCGGCCCAAAGTCACAGGTCTACTATCTATGTTTAATAATTTGAAGGAAAACACACACACACACACACAATTTCTTTAGTTTTCTGAAAACTAGCTTTTATTTGTGATATGACATTTACTTATTTGAAATGAAAATTCCATATTTAATTAGTCAAAATTTTAGAATATTTTTTTGTTTGGACAATGATTAACTGTTTAATATATTAAAATCCACTATTAATAAGGTTCTAGAAATATTTTAAAGCTTTTTGTTACAATTGAACTCAAACCAAATATTATAAACACAAACCACTTGTAATATATATTTTGTAATATATCACAAAATAAATGTAGGTGGCTAATGTGGGAGAACTCCGGGGAGAGTTGTTGCACGGCATACATGCGCTGAGGGCGGCGGCTGGTTACCCCCCGGTCGTGGAGGTGGCAGCTGATGTCGAGGTGGCACTTGACGTGGAGGTGGTAGGTGAGGTGGATGTGATGGGTGGTTATGGTAAGTATAGTTACAAATTGTTTAATTTCCATTCTTTTCTTAATTTTATATGTTGTCAAATCTAATTTTGATGATATAAATTCACTTTTTTTTTGTCAATGCAGAGTTGAGACACATGGCAACGATGGCTATAGCTAGCTTAGCCATTGTTAGTCTTCGTTTGGCGGGGAGGTGGTTTTAGCGAAGAAGATATACCACTAAGTATTTAGAAAATCTTGTCAGCTAACATTTGCTCTTTTTTTGCAAAATATTAATCACGAGAGTGAATTTCTAGGTTATGTATCAACTCTTGTAATTAGCTTTTCTAAATCTTAAGTTTTCTTAGAAATTATATATAACTGTGACCTTCAAATTGCAAAAATCAAAGAGACTCCTGGTTTTGCTTCATGATTGCAAAATTTATATGAGTCAACGCAAGTAAAATGTTAATGCTTCAATTAGTACAAAGTCAAAGAAATTGGATTTTGTTTTTTTTAATGAAGTGGTAAAAAAACACAAATGTCAAGACTAAAGAGTAAAGAAAATTACACGAAACGAACAATGCGATTAGCCAAATGAGCTATCCTCCCAATAATAAATCAAATGGTTTTCTCAATTTATTTTGAATCAATTTACCTAAACCGGATTAAACCGATATCCAATTAGAAAATCTAATCTAGCATTCTGTGCGAATAAAGTCAACCTTTCCGTCTAGATTAACTACGAATTTTTAACTAATCATATTAATATTAACAAAACAATCTCTGATTAAATAACAACTCAGATCTCTCTCGTTGTAATCAGCCACCAACTTCTCTTCACTTACACCACCACTACACCGTTACAATGTCTTCCACCGCCGCCGTAACGTCCTCGGCCAAACTCGCCGTGAATCCTCTCAGAATCTCTTCCCTCTCCTCCAGATCGGTTCTTCCATCCGCCATTTCCGTTCGCAATCGACGCGATATTCCACATAAACGTCTTATCCTCGTGACGTGCACTACCACCGGAGACGGCGCGAAACCAACCGTTCTCGTGGCGGAGAAGCTCGGCGAGGCTGGGGTTCAGCTACTTGAGAAGTTCGCAAACGTTGATTGTTCGTATAATTTAACCCCTGAGGAGCTAAACACGAAGATCTCGCTCTGTGATGCGTTGATTGTGAGGAGTGCGACGAAGGTAGGTCGTGAGGTTTTTGAATCGTCTCGTGGTAGGCTTAAGGTTGTTGGTAGAGCTGGTGTTGGGATTGATAACGTGGATCTGAGTGCTGCGACTGAGTTTGGTTGTTTGGTTGTTAATGCGCCTACTGCGAATACGATCGCTGCTGCTGAACATGGGATCGCGCTTTTGGCTGCCATGGCTAGAAATGTTTCTCAAGCTGATGCTTCTGTTAAAGCTGGTAAGCCCACTAATCGAACTTGTTAGATGTAAGGTGTGAAAGAATTGCAAAATTGATAGATTCTTGTAGTGTGGACGAATTGGTACTTTGTGTTCTGAAGATTCTTGGTTTTGGTTTTGGGTATAATGTAGGAGAGTGGAAGAGGAACAAGTATGTTGGTGTGTCACTTGTGGGGAAGACACTAGCTGTGATGGGATTTGGTAAAGTTGGATCAGAAGTTGCAAGACGTGCTAAGGGACTTGGTATGCGTGTTATTGCTCATGATCCTTATGCTCCTGCGGATCGTGCTCATGCCATTGGTGTGGATTTAGTGAGCTTTGATGAAGCGCTATCTACTGCTGATTTTATTTCGTTACACATGCCTCTGACACCTGCTACGTCGAAGATGCTTAATGATGAAACGTTTGCTAAGATGAAGAAAGGAGTGAGGATTGTTAATGTGGCTCGTGGTGGTGTTATTGATGAAGATGCATTGGTGAGAGCTTTGGATGCTGGTATTGTTGCTCAGGCTGCTCTTGATGTTTTTACCAAAGAGCCTCCGGCTAAAGATAGTAAGTTGGTGCAGCATGAGAGGGTTACGGTTACACCTCATCTTGGAGCAAGTACCATGGAGGCTCAGGTTCTGCATTTTTATCAACAATTCAAGTGATGCTTTTGTTATGATGTCTCTCTTGATTAATTACTGTATGTGGCATTGATAGGAAGGAGTAGCTCTTGAGATTGCAGAAGCTGTTGTTGGAGCTCTTAACGGAGAGCTTGCTTCTACTGCTGTCAATGCACCTATGGTTTCTGCTGAGGTGAGCCTTCTTTACACTATACTAGTAAGAGATTCATATATTCTTTGCCAAAACAAAAACTTAGCAACTTAAACATT